TTTTTCAACAAAGATTGATTTGGATTGAAGCTTGACGTACATCTGACAATAAATAAATGTTGTTCAATAGCAGTTAATACAATATTTACTACATGGTGTTACCAGGGAGCTGATGTCATTACAGATCCCTGGTGTTACTTATACTACTTGTATAAGTCCACAGTCAGCTGGCGCACGCGTGAGAATAAAATAAATATGATATTTACTATATGGGGGCCGCCATCTTGAATGCAGCAAAAATTGTCATTCCAGCTCAGCAGCCAATCAGCGACGGTCTTACAGTCAAATGACAATTTCGGTTTCAAATACCCAGGAAAGTGTTTTTCGTGTAATAATTTAGGTGTTCATATGCAAGGGATTTTTCCACACAAAAACGCCGAATTTTGTTATCAGTTGGCTTAATATAACCCCAACGGCTCGAAATTAACTTATATTTTTGGTAGCCCAAGTGGGCTACCAATTTGTGAAGCTAGTAGTCCCAAAATAAAGTCTGGTAGCCCAGTTTTTGATTTTGTAATTTAAGATTATAAAAATATTCTTTAAAAGATCTTGACTACCTATCTGCCCTGTACATGCCATGTCGTATAATTTTGTTTTTGGACACAACATTTTTAAATTTACCATTGTTTCTGAACTACACAGAAATAAAACAGATGATAGACATCAACTACATGTACATTGTAGGTAGCAGATTGTTGCAATTTCTAGGAGCCATTGTGGGCTACCAACTTTGAAATGTGGTAGCCCCATCATGAAAACTCGCGTAGAGATCACATGTTAAAGAAAATGTTCTTCGTCCTCTATGGCGTTATTTTCACAACATAGACATTTTCTGTCAGATATATCTGTGTTGTTATATTTTCCAGTCTCTATTTGTAGTCTGTGACCACTAATCCTCAATTTTGTCATTGATGACCTGTGATGAGTATTTTTGACTACGTGTAAGTAGTTTTCAAAGCCAAAGTCTGTTTTCAGTTCTCTGTAAGTGCGCAATTTATTTTTGTGATTTTTCACTTTTTTATCATTGTCTAAAATCTGTTTACAATTTTTTTCAAACTTTGTTTTTAGTTTTTCTGATATTATTTTATCTATATTTACATTGTTCACATTTTGCTTTTTTCTTCCTGCCACAAATGGTCTATGTCTAGATCTTTAAGTATAAGTTTTAACCCGGAAACCCAATTGTAGGTGCCAGAGTTGTCTAGTTCTAAGCCGAGACTGTATGCTTCATATACCAGAGAATTTTCAGGCATTTTTTTTATTCAAGACCAGTATTTGATCATCTGTTTTATCCCTGTTGTAATTAATGGATACCTTCCTAATTCTAAAAGACATGCCACATTGGTCTCTTTGCTGTTAACTTTGAGCAAAGATGGCGGGTTGTTCCCCCCATGTTTATATGTTCTTTAATGTCATTAACGTATATATATTAAATAAGAGTGGGCTTAGGCCATCCCCTGCCTTATGTCTCTTTCTACTGGAAATGTTTTTGTTAAGCAATTTTTTGTTTTTACCCATGCAAGTGAATTTTGGTAAATACTATTAATTATTTGGTAAAATTTTCCTGTGATACCATTTTTTCTTAATTTGTACATTAGTCCAGGATGCCAGACTGAGTCAAATCCTTTTTTGAAGTCAATAAAACATGCAAAAATGTATTTCTTGTTGTTAAGATATTTTGTGATCAGTTGTTTAAATACAAATATGTGATCTCTTGTACCAAATTTTGGCATGAACCCAATTTGTTCCTTAATTATTGGCGATCCACTCCGATAGAATTGCCCTTATACATGTAATCACTTTTGTCGTTTTGTGTGTGTCTGTGTGTGTTATTTTCAGTGTTTTCACGTATTATATTATTTCTTCTGTGATTTTTTTGGCTTGGCCGATTTTTCTGACTGTATGCTTCATATACCAGAGAATTTTCAGGCATTTTTTTTATTCAAGACCAGTATTTGATCATCTGTTTTATCCCTGTTGTAATTAATGGATACCTTCCTAATTCTAAAAGACATGCCACATTGGTCTCTTTGCTGTTAACTTTGAGCAAAGATGGCGGGTTGTTCCCCCCATGTTTATATGTTCTTTAATGTCATTAACGTATATATTAAATAAGAGTGGGCTTAGGCCATCCCCTGCCTTATGTCTCTTTCTACTGGAAATGTTTTTGTTAAGCAATTTTTTGTTTTTACCCATGCAAGTGAATTTTGGTAAATACTATTAATTATTTGGTAAAATTTTCCAGTGATACCATTTTTTCTTAATTTGTACATTAGTCCAGGATGCCAGACTGAGTCAAATCCTTTTTTGAAGTCAATAAAACATGCAAAAATGTATTTCTTGTTGTTAAGATATTTTGTGATCAGTTGTTTAAATACAAATATGTGATCTCTTGTACCAAATTTTGGCATGAACCCAATTTGTTCCTTAATTATTGGCGATCCACTCCGATAGAATTGCCCTTATACATGTAATCACTTTTGTCGTTTTGTGTGTGTCTGTGTGTGTTATTTTCAGTGTTTTCACGTATTATATTATTTCTTCTGTGATTTTTTTGGCTTGGCCGATTTTTCTCAAACTTGCCAGGTAGATCACACCTTCATCCTACTAGTTATTAGGAAAAATCTGAAACAACTGATTTTTGGATAGCTTCCCGCCAAATGTATCTCCTCCTACAAATTTAGGATAAAACACTTCAGACATAGCTCATTCTACTCAGCTTGAGTGTGGGCACAAAGTTACTATTTGAATTTTTGATATCTTTTTTCATTACCGAGAAATTTGAGGTTGGGGTAACTTTTAACCAGCAACAGCTTTTAACTCCTCTGTGATTTTTTTGACTCGGCCAATTTTGTTCATACAGGTAGGTCGTACCATCACTAATTGGAAACAAATCCTGGCCCATCACTGCCATTGCAACATCCAAAAACTGATTTTTGAATACTTTCGCCCCAAATGTATCACCTCCTACCAGTTTTGTAATAGCAGTGTTCAAATGATCATGCTTTTTAAGAGATCACCGGCGCCGACATTGTATCAACGTAATCCCAACGCAACTTTGAATGAACTGTAAATGCTGCCTTCATTCTAGAAAATACTATCGCAAAACGGTTGGAAATAATAAATGTAACAGCAGAATACGTCCTAGTAATAAACTAAGTGACTTCTAAAGACTGAATGTTGTTTGCGAACTTCGTATATGGACCCATTTAGTTATAAAGTGACGTTAGCTTCACGTTTATGTCACACCTTGAAAACATGTTGCTTGTTTTTGAGCGGATCGCCAACCAGCCTCCCGGCTTGTTATTTTATTGTCCTGTATATAGTTGGTTAGACGTTGTTTCAGAATTGATGTGAATAGTTTACTTAATGTGCTCAGAAAGGTGATTCCCCTGTAGTTGCTAGGGTCTGTTTTGTCACCTTATAGATTGGTTTAATGATACCTGTATTCCAGCTGCTTGGATACTTGCCACTAGATAAAATATGATTGATTAATTTTTGTAAAGGCTCTATTAAAATATGTCTGCCTGTTTTCAGCACTTCATTTTTAATTTTATCCAGACCTGGGCTTTTTCCAGCTTTCTGCTTATTTATTTCGTTTTGTATCTCAAGTTCTGAAATATTTTTGTCAAGCATATCTACTGTCTGAGAGCTCCATTCTAATAGGTCAATGTCTGCATCTTCGTTATAGTCTCATCTGCTCGGAAGAATTCAGTTCTTTAATGTGTTCAAACCACTTTTCATCTTTAATGTTTTCAACATGGTTTTCATTTTGTTGGTTATTTTTAAATTCTTTTATTAAGTCCCAGTACTTGTGTGAATTAGAGTTTCCCATGTTGCCAAGTCTATTAAGTATCTCATTTTTAATTCTCTTTCTTTTTTTGATTAGACGTTTATAGTCTCTTTTAAGATTGTAACATTGTATTCTTGAATGTATGTTGCCAGGATTTCTACTAAGGTTAGAAGACAATTTAAATACTTTTCTTTTCATATTAGCTAGCTCATTTGTAAACCATTTGGCTTGTTTAGTTATGTTTTTTGATTTAACATTTTTTTTTTTCTTCAGACTTTTGTCAGCTGCTCCAATGTACATATTTGATATCAATTCACATGCATGGTCAATTGACTCTATATTTTGGTTGAAGTCTTTTTTTATTGAATTCATCAATTAGCTTGCCTATTTCTTTACTCTGTAAAGCCCTGTTAAAGTCCAATTTAGATTTGTTATTCCATAAATAGTGCTTGTTGGTGTCTCAGATTTTGTAGTTTATTTTGTCACTTTTATCTGAGATTGCATTAGTGTTTAGGTGATAGGATATCTGGCAGTGGGTGGACAAAAAATAGATTGATTTTTTCAAATGAATTATCACTAACTACTAGTATTGTATAATCAACAATCGTATCGTATTTATATATTTATCAACAATTAACAATATTAATCAACAATCGTATCGTATTTATATACTAGTATTTGCTTATATACTCAATAATCGTATTTATTTTATAATCACGTGTGCGCCAGCTGACTGTGGTATAAAGTTATAGTGGATTCAACAGAAGTTTGTGTTCAACTTCCAATTTCTTGCAACTGGGCTTTGGGATAGACATGTTTTCACGCACCTGCTCAAAATACTTCGCCCATTCATTAGCTCTGAAGAGGGCTTTGGAGTCCCAGTTTGCAACACTTTCGCATCGTGAACTTTGTAGTATTTCAATAAAACTTCCAGCATTTTTCAATATTTTGACAAGCTGTTCCATCATGAGGTGTTTTATGGCAATTAAAACAATACTAGTATATAGACAAACCAATATTTAGTATGAATGTACACAGTCTGGAATATGCACCATTTCCTTGAGCATGCGTGAACAAAAAAAATCCACGACCTTTGGCTATTTCGTTGACTGCTTTTAAAATAGCCGCCATTTTACTTATGATCGTTTTTTTTTGTTTCCTCCAATTGCAAAGCATTGTGGGAATAAACACTTTTCAAAATGGCCGTGCAGGTGAATACATATCTGGAAGCAAGCGAGCACTGGAACCTTTATTTTGAGATATGATAGTGTCTATGCAAGATAAGCTAAATTTCGTGAACTTTTGAAATTGCAGTCATGTCGGCACACAGTCGAAGGTAAGTTGTCCGAAGATTTCCAGTGCCCCTGTGATTGCGCCAGTTTAATCATTCAACTTAGAACATGTTACGGTGATCCCGTTTTGACTGGACTGTTACATGTCCAATCTAATGTTGAAACATGTTGTTGCGTGTTACAAAAAAACGTTTTCATGATCACAAGCCAGGGATAAGCGAAATTCTTTAAGCTGTGGTGAATGTGGCGTGTAAAATAATAATAATAACTTTATTACACTATTAAAAACCTTCAGAGGGTTTGTGTATGGTAAGAAACTAAAGAACATAAATACAAAGAAATACAATAACACTAGAATTCAAAAGAGATAAAATATAAGAAAAATGTTAGTAAAATAAAAAAAAAATTAATTACTTTCTGTGGGTATTCTACATGTAAAACTATTTTAGAAACATAATTTCAATATGTATTTAATACACCTAGTAGGATAGTAGTATATTTATTGTCACAGCACTGACTTTATTAGCCCTGAGTACAGTCCTGTAGGTTGGCCTCCTTCCGCTGATCATTTGGCCCCACAGTCTTGAGAAGTCGCATAGACCGAGGATTCGATACTTTTGTGAAGGAATGCATCGAGCGATTTAAGAGGCATTCAGCTTTGCAGTTAAAAATTAAGCAGGTCGATACGTCCAACTATACTAAATACCCTAACTGGAAGGGAAATTACATTACACTAGGGTTGTTCAAATCGCCATTTTCCAACGTCAACCGAAAATATACGCCGCCATCTTGTTCTTGACGTATTTATTAACAAAACGTTGTTTCGTTGCGTAAAACTAGCTTTCGCCAACGTTCCAGTAATGTAGGTTCATTTTTTCTGCCA